TAATTTTTTATAGGTGAAATAAATTGATGAAGTTGTGAAGAAAAGTGAAGAAAATAGTGATAAAAAAAATAAGGAAGGGCCCTCCCAAGGATTGGACCCACGCCCTTGGGGTGGAGGGTTCAAAATTTACCAACTGAGTCATGTGCGTGTGGTGATAACATGATGGAAGGAGAAAATGATATATTGAAAACCCTATTGAAAATAGTTTTAAAAAAATAAAACCAAAAGGTCTGGGGCAAGGGGGATTCAAACCCTAGACCTTGGACTCGCTCATACACAAATACTAGTGTTTCTACTAGGGCGCAATGTCTATTCAGGTTTTAAGTTAGAAACCAAATAATATATATTAAAACTTCTTTTTATTTTGAAAAATGGCGCCACCATTGCTGATGTTCTTCGTGTTCTTCATCAATAACATCAAATTTGCAAAACGATTTCTATCTTACTCAATTCGTAACCATTTTGCAAAGTGCAAACATGAAAGTTATGTGTTTTTAAACAAGGAATTCAATGGTTCTTTTTAATTTCATTTATTTTAAGTGTATCATAAGATATCATGTTATAATCAGCTGAACCCTAAAAAATGCAAAAACTATATGAAATCCTATATACAACAGATAATATGCAATTGATTAAGGAGAAACAACATATATAGGTGCAGAAACACAATGGTAACTTAAAATAACAAGTATGATGCATGTGTCATTGAGTTTGAGAGATTGAGGCTTACCTATGCAAGAAGGAAATGAATTCTATGGTAGGGGTGTCCTCGGAGTGAAATAATGATCCTCACAGCTTCTTTAAGTCTCAAGGATCCTGTTGCAACCTTTGGAATGATTTGAAACTCCTTAGATCAACTGGCTCAAGTCAGGCTGTAGTTGGATCAAGTGAGGGTGAAGGATGTTGATCCTGGTTTTAAAGATGTGTTTGATTGATTCAAAATACTTCTATATGATATTTATGAGGTGTGTGTGTGTCGTACCTTAAAAAAGCACGATCCTTCGCGAATGGTCGTGGAAAGCAGAGTCGCCACCGAATTTTATTCATTCCAAGATAGAATAGGAAAATATCAAGAAAACCTTTAGGGAAAGAACATGTCCATCGCAACCAAGTTCTAGGTTCGGGAGTCGGTTACACGAGGGGAAGGTATTAGCATCCCTCACATCTGTTGTACTCAACGGGAACCTCTTGATTCGATTCATGAGAAATGTTAGCTTAGTTTGTTTATTTTCTTCTAAGGAAATAAAGTGAAAAGGTATGGTAATAGAGTTTATATTGCTAAGGAAAGAATGGGTGGTTTTAGATTAAGGTGATCGCCAAGGATTGGGGCCCTTGTGCCTACGTACCTTCACTTGAGATAAGTGAAGAATCCGAGCGTCTGTAGTTCGTGGGACTACGGGAGAAAAGAGACGAGGTTGTTCGCTAGGATTATTGCGATCCTATGCCTACGTATTCTCATCGACAAATGAGAAATCAGAGTGTTCGTAGTTCGGACTACGGATGTTGGTTTGATTTTATCGAAAGATACTTAGTCGCATTCGACAGAAAATATTGCTTTACCCAAGCGGGTGAGGAGAGGACGCTTGCATTACTTTGAATGGATTTCCATATATCAACATTCATGGGAAACACGCCACTTATCTCAACTCAAATAGTTTATGGACGAAGCAATATTTTGCATCGTCTCAAGACACCATATCTCATGTTTATAAAAAGGTTTGATAGTTCACACGTCGGCAAGTTGAATTAATGTGTTGATGTATTGTGATTGGATGACAATCACTTGAAGCTTAAGAAAGGCTCCTCGGGCCCAAGTAATCGGGAGAGTGGGTCAAAGACTTGACTTTCTCTTTTTTCCATCTAGAAAAGAGGTTATGTTTATGAAATGTTTTGAACGATGGAAGATAGTTAAAATATTTTAACGGATGAGGATTACTTGAAGCTTAAGAAAGACTCCTCGGGCCCAAGTAATCTGGAGAATGAGTCAAAGACTTGACTCTCTCTCTTTTTCATCTTATATTATGAAAGAATTTTGATATAGCTAGAGTAAGTTACGAATGACGATTACTCGAAGCTTAAGAAAGGCTCCTCGGGCTCAAGTAATCGGGAGAGCGGGTCAAAGGCTTGACTCTCTCTCTTTTTCATCTAAGTGATTGAGAAAATAGATTTAATGTGAGTCAGGTTATAAATTATTTTTTTTAAGAAGACAATTGTTCAAACTTAAGAAAAGCTCCTCGGGCCCAAACAATTGAGGAGAGAAATCCAAGATTCCATTCCAACTCCCTTTTATTGAAATATGGTTTAATTCTAATTAAGTTAATTGATTTAAATTTGAGAAAATGCTTGATGTTGATCGAGATTTGAATTTGTGTATGAGATAGTTAGGGCTAATGGAAAGGAGGTCTTATTGGTTTAGGTAAGGTCGATGACGACGCACGAGGCCGTCGACTTACAAAATAAATGGTGAAATGGTATGATTTATTATGAAAATGCTTGACGTTGGATCGAGAGAAATGGTATGTAAGGAATTTGAACAAACATGATTATGGTATAGGCATATTATATGAGCAAATTGCACAAATGAAATAAATAAATCGGGAATCGCTCAGCTAAACCAAAATAAACAACATACAACAATGAAAAAATAACTAAATAAATATTTAATGAAATTAATTAGCAATTAAAATAATTGACATTAAATAAATATATTTAGGGTAATCAGTAAATATAAATTTACTTTATTTATTTAAATAAATTTAACCAAATAAATAAATAAAAAGTGATATATAAAAAAATGAATAAAATAGATAATAAAAGAAAAAAACTGGTCCTTTTTCTAAGAAACACGAGGGTGTGAAAAGCATAAACATATGGCCCAGACAAAGACCCAACGGCTCGGTACGCATGGTGTTACATGGACTATGTTAACCAGATGCACCGCCATGACCGTGACCATCAGATTCTGCCATCAAATTCTGCTTCAACTGTATGGTAGTAAGGTTGTTCAATCTGCCGCCTTATAACGATAAGTGGAGCTTCATTAAGGAATCTAACTTAGTACATGGCAGCGAGTGTAGCCAAAGCATCAACCACTCGGTTTTCTGTTCTTGAGATGTGATGGAACGTTATGGTATCAAAATTCTTTATCATCTCTTTGACATAAGCATGATATGGGACCAACTTCGTGTCATGGGTTTCGTAATCTCCTTTGATTTGGTAGATCACCAAGGCTGAGTCTTCGTACACCTCAAGGTTCTTGATATGAAGATCAATTGCGGCTTCGAGACCAAGGATACAGGCTTCATACTCCGCCATATTGTTCGTACATGCAAAACACAACCTTGCAGTAAAAGGAGTGAAATTACCATAAGGAGAAACCAAAATAGCTCCAATGCCATGTCCGTTGGAATTTGAAGCACTATCAAACGCGAGCCAAATTGCCCCAAGTTCAGGTCCTTCATCAGGGTCTGGAATCCCACAATCCTTTTTAGCCATGATATCTTCATCAGGAAAATCAAACCTTATGGGTTGGTAGTCCTCTAACGGCTGATGCGCCAAATATTTTGCCAATACACTTCCTTTAATCACCTTTTGGGTGACGTACTGTATATCATACTCAGACAACAACATCTACAAACGAGCCAATCTTCCATTTAGAGCAGGTTTCTCAAAGATGAACTTTATGGGATCCATCTTGAAGATCAACAAAGTGGTATGGCAAATCATGTACTGCCTTAAACGGCGGACGAACCATGCCAAAGCACAACAGGTCTTTTCTACAAACGAATATCTCGATTCGCAATCAGTAAACCTTTTGCTTAGGTAATGAATCACATGCTCTTTTTAACCAGATTTATCTTTTTTCCCTAGTACGCAACCCACCGAATCTTCTAACACAGTCAGGTACATGATGAGCGGCTTCCGGGGCACGAGTGGGACCAAGATGGGAGGCTCTTGTATGTAACATTTTATATTTTCAAAAGCCTTTTGACAGTTGGCATCCCACTGGACAACTTGATTCTTTCTCAGTAGCTTGAATATAGGCTCACACGTAGCCGTCATATGAGAGATGAACCTGGAGATATAATTCAATCTCCCTAAGAATCCTCTGACTTCTTTCTCTGTTTGTGGAGCAGGCATTTCTTGAATAGCCCTGACTTTGTCGGGGTCTACTTCAATTCCACGCTGGCTAACAATAAATCCAAGCAGTTTCCCTGACCGGACACTGAATGTAAACTTAGCAGGATTTAAACGCAATATGAACTTTCTCAGTCGTTCAAATAGTTTTCACAAATGTTCTATATGGGGAAGCTTTACCCCATACCCCTACACTTGTACCCACACCCCTACATTAAAAAACATTGGACCAAAATACCCTTGTTTAAATATCTATAATTTTGAAAAAATTTCATTTTTCCTTCATTCCCAAACACAAAGACATCCGGAAGCTCTCTTTCTTTTAACAAACCGGAAGACTTCAACCAAGACATCCGGAAGCCATTTTTGATCAAATACATACCGGAACACTACAAGTAAGTCATCCGGTTTGTAATTTTTTTTTCATCTTCACCGGAAGACTTAACGAATGTCTTCCAGTTTGTAAACTTGTTGATTTTGTCTTCCGGAACTCTTTCCTAAAGACTTCCGGTACACGCGAATTGGATTTTCTTCACCGGAACTCTTATTAAAAGACATCCGGTACAGACCAAAAACTATTTTTCTCACCGGAACACACTCCTGAAGAGTTCCGGTGTATTGTTTTTTTTTTTAATTTTTTTTTCTACGTATTTATTTTTTTTCTACTTATTTATTTTTTTTTCTACTTATTTAATTTTTTTTCTACTTATTTATTTATTTTTTTTCTACTTATTTATTTATTTTTTTTTCTACTTATTTATTTATTTATGTTTTAATTTTTAATTATTTTTTTTTCAGTGGTGCGCACACGAGGCAGAGATGGTAGGATCCCTCATGGAGTAGGACGGGGTGAGTCATCGAGAATGGCTGAAGAAGAGCATTTTGATGCATCTGCATCTGCATCAGCATCCGAGCCGGTTGGATATCCAGGAGGACCGTCTGATACATCTCTGTTAGTTAAATACGAACAGCATATTGCAAACCGTATATGGTTCGGTCAAGTAAGAAAACGAAAATTATTTAATATTCAATAGAATTCAAATTTTTAATTGTTTTAATTGTTTTCAAGAGAGAGGGTCGAAAAAAGAGTTAAAGGTAGCGGGGCATGGATTGAAGTTGATGCGGAGGGTTCCACTACAGCTACCCAGAGAGATGGAGGGCTGGATATCTAGGTCTGGTCTAGCTTCACTCCAGAGAACTAGTTTAACAAAGATAGACACAAACCTAGTTTCAGCATTTGTAGAGAGATGGCATCTAGAGACATCTTCATTTCACATGCCGTTTGGTGAGATGACGATTACTCTAGATGACGTTTCTTGTCTGCTTCACTTGCCCATCAGGGGAGTCTTCTGGAGTCCTCAAGATATTAGTGAAGCGCTTGCTGTTGAGTGGGCTGTTCAATATTTAGGAGTGTCACGGAGAGTAGTACAACAACAAATCCGTGAATGCAGGGGTTCCTACTATAAGCTGGAGTGGTTATATGATCTGTTCGTAGAGCACATAGCTGCATCTAGATGGGATTATGCCACTAGAGCTTATTTGCTGATGTTAGTGGGTTCCACTATTTTCGCGGACAAGTCGTTTACTCTTGTTGAGGCACGATACCTGTCACTGTTTATAGACTTGGATGGCTTACCAGGATACAGTTGGGGAGCAGTTGCATTGGTTACTCTTTACAGATATCTCGGAGATGCTTCTATGTTCAGCTGTAAGCAGCTTGGTGGTTATCCGACTCTCCTACAGGTATTTATTTTAATGTAGTATATTTTATTTATCTAGTTTATTATGTTATAATTAATTATTTTAAATTTAGTAACCATATTAATTTTGTAACAGTGTTGGATTCATGAGTATTTTCCAACGCTTGGAAAAAAAGGAGAGAACTGGATGCCAGCTAATAATGTGGGTCTCCCTCGAGCGATGAGATGGTCCTATAGGCAAGGTTCGTTGAAGGTGGATGACTTGCGGCCTATTTTGGACGAGCTGACACCTGCTGACGTCATATGGCGCCCATTCGAGAATCATAGAGTATGGTGTCAGTTTGATGAGCTATGTCTATATAGGGGGTGTCTGAGGTGGGGTGACACTGTTGTTCCATATTTGCCTGACAGATGTATGCGTCAGTTTAGATACCGGCAGTATATTCCACATCCACCTCTAGATCATACGATGGCTGGTGATATTGATGTTGACTAGATTAGTTACCATCAGAGCGTTCAGAATGTGATTCGTCCGACAGCACCGGCCACCACCCCATATGAGACAGATGATGGATATCTTGAGTGGTACTATCGTGTCTCTCATCCTCGTCTGGTACCGCCACCCTATCATGATGTGCCAGTAGAGATGCAAGTTCCTGTATATAAAGTAGGACCATCTGATCCTAGCTAGGCTCGAGTGTCTTCGTTGATTCATCGGTATCTTCAGCAGGCTGGTGCTGAAGAAGATGACCCACAGTTTGCAGATTTGTTCGAAGCTTTATTTATTGCTCGATCACAGTGACTTGTATTTATATTTATAATTATATGTTAACTTTTAGACTCATTTGACCTAATTGTTTTATGTTTATGTGTTAACTTTTAGACTCATTTGATCTAGTTGGTTTATGTGTATGTTTTGAATGATTCACAATTCATGTTTTGAAATTAAAAATGAGTAACATAAGTCATTATTCATGTTTTGAAATTAAAAGCGAGTAACATAAGTCATTATTCATGTTTTGAAATTAAAAACGAGTAACATAATTTATAATGTATAATGCGTTGGTAATATAGGCGTAAGTTGTTGCCAATGTTGTAGACGTCCTGCAAATCCTAGCATCCAAGATGTTGCTGCTGGAGAACGAAACTTCTTCCAATCTACTGTCACTGGTGGCAATGGAAACCCTTCTTTCATGTTTACCTAAATAAAAAAATAATCAAAATAGTAAGTAAAAATAACGAAAAAAAACTTAAGATTAATCGCATTATCTAAAAATAACTAAGTACCTGAACCCAATGATTTCTGTTTACAAAACCAATGCAGTAAATTGCTACATTCGGTGAAAATGAAGTTGTCATAGGGAAGAAAGTCCAGCATTCAATTCCTAAACAGACAAGTACAACATTATAACGATTCGTTATCACGTAACCCATATCTGGTAGAGTTAACCATTTATGTGGTGGTTGAGGACCGACTTCCTCTATCATCAAAGATTCTCTCACCACTGCTAACTGATCAGTGAATAAATTGGCATACAAACTTGATCTTTCATTATGTATTATTTCCAAACCCAAGTCTCGACGAACCATTGCCCAACCATCTTCACCAAATCCATGCAATGAAGCAATGACTCTAAAACCACAATTACCATCTGATACAACATTAACTACATCATCAATATAGGATCGAATGTGATTAGGAAACTGAAGGATGAACTGCTTAGATGACTGTGAAGATTGTGATAATTTGATCTTCTTCGAAGCTTGTGATGGTTGAGATTTCTTTTGTGAAGACTGTGATAATTTAGTCTTCTTCGAAGTTTGTGATGGTTGAGATTGAGATGCTTGATCAACATATTCGTGATACGAAGGGTCTCTATAAACATCATATCCTACTAGTTTTTTTGTCTTTTCTCTTGACTCCCCCTTTAGTTTTTATTTTCTCTGGTGGTGGACACATAGAAGTCATTGTTGGGAAGGCAAGTTCAAAAACCCTACTTTTTAATGCCCTTTTTCTAACAACATCCAGTGACTTAAACCTTTTCCATAACTCATCTATTGCACTACTCATATCCACCTCTGATCCATCGTCTACGTCTTCGTCCAAATTAACTTCCATACTTAGTTTTCTCCAATGAACATGTACAACCTCTATTGGTATCGGTATACCATCAATTCTATATCCTGTCAACTCACAAGCACAAGGTAATCCGTAGGTTGTTCTAAGAGTACAACGACACTTTTCCTTGTTAGTTCCAACATAATCAACTCGTTTTAACTCTTCAGCAATGCGTCTCAATGCATCTCGAGACACTGAACCACGTAAATTATTATAAAATGGACTTACATGAGCGTGCTCAACTTCATAAAAACTCTTTTGAAAAGAAGCTCTAATATTACCCAATTGTAACTTTAAGTTGTCATTCATAGCCTCCCAACATTTGACCATGTCACCAATACTGTTCCCCAACATTTGCTTTAACTTCCAATGAGCAGACTCGACCCTAAAATTAATACATATTAAATATATTATAAAAAAATTAAAAAAAAATACAATTTAGAAATACTAAAAACAAATACATACCGATTAGTCGTTGTGTTACCAAAATGTAGCAATCGATTAATCCATGCTTCAACAAATCTTTGTCTATGTGGTGTCAACCATGTGTCCTTCACATAATCAATAAATTCATTACAATCAACACACGCCTGCTCAAGTTGTTTCAACGTTTGATCATACTCAACCTCATCACTAGCCCATACAACCTCCGTCCACAATTCGTCAATTTTCTTTTGCATGTCACTAGCCACATATTGTTTCCGTTTTGCACCAACATTCTTGTTAATATGATATCGACATAGCATATTGATCGACCTTGGAAACACAATTTCAATGGCTTTCATCAAAACAAGATCTCTATCTGTCAAAATCACTTGTGGACACAACTCTTTTTTCACAAACAATTGTTTAAGCTTATCTAGCACCCAACAAAAATTCTCAGTTTGCTCAGACTCAATATAGGCAAATGCGACAGCAAAAGTCAACTCGGTTGATGTCATTCCAACAATTTCAAACAGAGGTTGCCTATATTTGTTTGTCTTGTAAGTGAGGTCCATAACTAGCACAGTAGGAAAAATATTCAACAACTTAACTGAATCTGGATGAGCCCAAAAGATATCTCTAATAACTTCAGAGTCATCTCTTTTTCTACTCCAATAAACATAACCTGCTTCCTCAATAAGCTTAAACAAATGTTGTATCTCACTTCTAGAACCTCTTATATTTTTTACTATCGTACTCTTCTGTTTGTATATTTGCGTGATCCGAGTGACATTATCTGGATCTTGCTCTTGCAATGAAAGCAGTATATGTCTAGGTGGAACCTTTCTCTTTGTCAAATCAATAACATGTTGCTTCTGATCCGCTGTCAACCTACCGACAAATGCGTGACCTTCTAATCTATCAGGTAAATCATGGTTATGAACTCCACATTTTACATCAATTTTCCATCCAGATCCATCAGCCGCTGGAATTGATCTGATTCTAAATGGACATTCACATTTTTTCGTCGCACTCTGAGTTCCACTAACAATATCTCTGTGTTTTCCTCCTTTATCATATCCAAATATTAATTTGTTACTTCTTCCTCTCTTACCTGTTTTAATATCTGAATGAGTGATGATAACCGTAACTTTATTTCGGATTCCGATCTCTTTAATCCATCTTATCACCTTTTCTCGTGTATTAAATTTTTGAGTAGTTGAAAAAACATCAGACATATCTACCCATATTTGATCTTTATCGCATATTTGTAAAGGAACTTCTGAAATTACATACATACGTAAAAAAAAATAATTTAAAAAAAAATTCAAAAAAAAAATGCCAATACAAACCGGAACACTTATAGAAAGAGTTCCGGTACCCAAACTAGTCAAAAAACAAACCGGAAGACTTGTTACAAGAGTTCCGGTAGTCAAAATTTCAAACCGGAAGACTTGTTCCAAGTGTTCCGGTGATCACACGAAAATTCCAATACCGAATGTCTTTATTAAAGTGTTCCGGTATGAAAGAATATGCATACCCATTTGCGATTCTCAGAGTGTTCCGGTTGATTGGGGGTATATTCCTCAAAGTCTAAAAATTATAAAAAAATGAAAATAAAAATAATAAAATATTAAAATATATGAGGATAAAATGGGTATTTTTTAAAAAATGTAGGGGTGTGGGTACAAGTGTAGGGGTATAGGGTAAAGCTTCCTCTATATGGTCCTCTTTTCTTTGTGATTTGGCTATCATATCATTGACATATACTTCAATTTCCTTATGCATCATGTCATGTGAAAGAGTGACCATTGCTCGTTGGTAGGTTGCCCCAGCGTTTTTCAACCCGAAAGGCATCACCTTGTAGCAGTACGTTCCCCATGATGTAATAAACATAGTCTTCTCCATGTCTTCAGGTGCCATTTTGATTTGATTATAGCCTAAGAAACCATCCATGAAGGAGAAAATGGAAAATTTAGCAGTGTTGTCCACTACTGTACCAATATGTGGAAGAGGAAAATCGTCCTTTGGACTGGCTCTATTCAAATCTTTGTAATCCATACACATTCTCACTTTACCATCCTTTTTGGGGACATGCACGATATTAGCAACCCATTGGGGGTATTTGGACACTGCTAGGAAACCGGCGTCGAACTGCTTTTTAACTTCTTCTTGAATCTTGATGGACATATCGGGCCTTACTCTTCTCAACTTTTGCTTTACTGGCGGGCATTCTGGCCGAAGCGATAGTCGGTATTCAACAATATCTGTGTCCAAACCTGACATATCTTGGTATGGCCATGCAAACACGTCTACGTCTTCATGCAAAAGCTTGACCAAACTCTCCCTGATGCCATCTTCAAGAACAATACCAATCTTCACCTCTTTCTTTGTCTCTTATGTTCCCAAGTTGATGACCTCCACAGGCTCTTGATGAAACTGAATAGCTTTATCCTCATGCTCTAGTAACCTTGCTAGTTCATCAAGTAGATTACATTCTTCCTCGCACTCTTATTCCGCTTGGTTCACGGGGGTCTCAAAGTCAGGAGGGATTGTAACATTATAAAGTTCAACAGGTTCATTAATTATTCTGCATGATTTTAATGTTGATTTAAAAAAAAATGAAAAGTAAATGCAAGAAAATAAAATGCTTTTTGTGGCCTTGGAAAAGTTGCCATTTTCTTAAAATGAAAACAAAAAGAGAGAATGAAAAACAAAATGCTTTTTATTAATGATGATAATCATTTGAAAATAAAGCGGCCCTACAAATGATCCTTAAGCCTTGGGCAGAGTAAAAGGATTTTGAGAAAACAAAAATAAATTACTCTGACAATGAAAAAAACTTCAGGTAGCTCAACCGATTCCCAGTTATTCAAATCAGCGGTGCTATGGTACACTAGGCATGGTGTCGTTGAATCTGTTGCATTGTCTTCTACAACAGCCACCTCTTTGTC